GATTATGATTACGAATGGTCGAAACAACAATGTTTTGGATGTTTCCCTTTTTCGATCTATAGGTAATTTCTTCTATAATAAGTTCATAAGTGTATTTTGTCTTATTTACAATTAAATTTAAATAACTGGCATAATATCATCATTACGACAGCCTATCATAAGTCTACTAGCTGAACATATGCCAACCCAATAGATTGACATGAGGGGGATATTTGCCATAGTTTTCACGCTTGGCAAGCCGGTTGGCGATCATAATATAAGGAAAGTGGTTAAGTTTTTATATATATATATATATATATATATATATATATATATATATATATATATATATATATATATGATATGGTTAATGCAGATTATAAACGTTCATATTATGTTTATTTTTTATTTTCTCCCGTGCCGTGGTAGTGGACGGGGTCGGAAGGGAATTCTCTTAATAAATATTTTACTACAACAAGTATCACAAGTACTCCCAAAATTATGACAATTTGAACCTTATTTCATTTACTTAACAGTGAAGTTTGTTAGTTTTAAGCGTGTGTGGTAATTCTTGGCTTCTTGGCGCCCGTTCAATTTTCCTATCCTACAATCACTACAACAGATGTTATGCCCACTGAACTCTATACAATGAAAGAGTCACTATCAATGTTTACTTAGTATAAGCGTTATATTTGGGATAGAAAAGACTTATGCCCAAATACTCAAACGCTACTCGTTTTTAAGATATATACATAGTCATAGTCACTTTGAATTAAAGACATTTTTGTCTCATCATCATCATCATTACAGCCCTTCACAACTCCACTGCTGAACATAGGTCTCTACCAAGGAAGGCGAGTCAAAGCACCTGCATCCATCGACTTCCTCCTGCATGCCTTACCAGGTCGTCATTCCATTCTAGTGCAGGGTCGCTCTACACTACGCCTACCGGTACGAGGCTGCTACTCGAGTACCTTTTTTCCGCATCGATTGTCGGTTTTTCGAGCTATATGGCCGGGCCATTTTTGTCTATTAGGCCAGTATTGATACAAAATTTAATGCTGATTTAACTATGATATTATGTGTTTACTGCATCATTGCTCTAATGGTTGTATGCGCAACTGGTAATCTTGTGGTCTCGGGTGGTACCCGATCTCGGGTTTTTCGGTCAAAAAATTCTCAGTAGCTGCTCGGAGTCAGAAAGTTGGCGGTGTTTCACCCCCGTACCTCAAAAACCGCGTAAAGTCGTTTTTCCTGTAGCTGAACTCTCTTCGGTCGTGTCAGATTACCGTCCCCTTGATTTGGACTGTGTCAATGGGAATAAAGAGTGCAAGGCACCTGTGTTTGCACACACATTCGTGTAGGTATAGTCTCTGTCGAAGCTGCTGTAAGGAATCTGGCCACTGTGGTCGAAACTGGATTGGAGGATATTATTATTATTAAAATTAACATATAATAATGTAGTTATATATAATAATGTAGTTAATTCTAGTTAAGATTATATTAATCTCTTATAAGAGTCGAAAAACGCCGCCGGTACTTTAACCAGAACTCTATACACAAGAGGTGATTGTAATTCCATTTTGAGTGTGACTGGTCACAAATATACCATAATAATATAAGTAATAGTAGTATCTCCTTTTATTAACGAAACTAATATATATATCTCACAATAATTATTTACAACATTAATTTCCTGTTTACAACGAGTCATTACATATCCGACTTATAAAACGAATGAAGTACCGTAAATGGGTTATTAAGTTTTAAATTAGGAATACAATTCCGTAACCTGACTATAACAATAGTTCGGCTACTGATTTTTTAAACTATTCCACCCAATATATAGAAAATAATTCAATGAGAATAAATCTAAAGGAAAGACGACGCTTTCGCCTCCTACGCGACTTATAAATACTGCAAGGACAAAATAAAAGATGCTTTTAAAGTTACACCTGACTGAACCTCCTATCTTAGAGCATTATCTTTCCTACACTGTACAATATTTATAGTTGGAGTCACCTTTTAAGTCGTCTCTGATAATATATCACTTAAGAACGATAAGGACTATGCAGAACAAAGTGGATGTTTAGATATGCATTCGTAAAACAAATTGTTTAGCCTTATCGTTTTACAGTTTCTATTGTTTATTGCTCTAATTAAGTTAAAATAGTTATTATACTTTTTTAAGAATGAAATAAATCAGTTATAGATACTGTGTCTAATAATAAACTTGATACATTTCATCAAAATACAGAAGTTAGGGAGTTTAGCAAGAATCTCAACGTAATAAAATTTTTAAAGATGTAGGTATAATACATTTATAGTATGTATTTAGTAATTTCGTATGAGTATGTTGCCAAATGTAACGCAGCGTTGGTCCAGTTATCATTCACACAGCGGCATAACATAAGTACAACATAAACACGACCCAGTTGCACGCAGGAAGCCGCCCGCCACCGCGATCGCCGTGTTCAATGTAATTCAATTTGTTGACTCCGATTTTATTTTAATACTTACTTTTCAACTTCTAATTTCTATTATATTTCCTCTACTATAAATTCCTAAAAAATCTTTGCGCTAAAACCTCTCAACAATAAGGGGAGGTAACTTTAACTTTTTTTCTATACTTAAATTAATTTATTTATTAAGTCACTTTACACTAAAGTATGTCCGTCGTAGCCCAAATGGACAGATACAATGGCTCTTAGCAGGAGCAAATTTACAATTAAATTATTTCTCAATCATTAACATTAAATACAGTTTTACAACAAATTCATTTTTAAATAAATTACACATCAACGACCTTGAAGTTCAATGTTGAGCATATGTTGTTCCAAGAATGTTCCAGCTGACAAACACTATTTGGAATACAATTATAAATATAATTACCAACGTTTTTATTTTGTAAATATTATCAAATAGAAATTTAATTAGTTTAAAATAACAGGAATATTGCACGAACTTTATGCGAAATTTATTAAATCAATCAAGACGATTTATTGATCAATGCGATTTATAAATGGGAACTGGGTGTGGCATGGCTTATTAAATAATTATTTAAAAAAAAAACACTCTCAAATGTTACTAGAGCAAAGGATAATTTGTAATAATAAATGGCTAGTATCCGGATATCAATGTCACAAAGAACCCCGAAAATCCACTTCTCGAAATTTGTCTGATTTTTCACAGTTACGAATTGTCCACGAAATGAATGGACATAAATGTCTTCCCGGCTCATGGAATGTTGGAGAGGCTGGAAGGAACGCCTCCCACTCGTCACTTGGCCCATTAATCTCCTCGCTAACCGTCTGTACGTCCGTCACTGCCAGTAATCTAATACGACACGCCAGCTTTGTGTCCCCGTATTACTCGCACTCTGGAAATACGCCTTAAAAATGCCCATAATCTGTCAGCGGAGAGGGGTCTCTTTTTAGGGGTAATCAAACAAGCCCTTAATAAAAGGAACTCATTCAATATGTGAATTACGGCCGTTGTCGGTTATAAACATACACATTTTATTCATTCGGTCATCATCGTCAGTTATTAACGTCTCGCTTATCACATATACGCGTAAATTGTTAACGTACGATAAACGCATAAATTCATAAATTATGTAGAGTCGACTTATGTCCATAACCCCACATGTACTTTTATTTATTCTGTGTCCAATAAAGTGAACCTAATTGTTATTTTCATTTTTGTATATTATAAACTCTATAAAAAAATGCAGAACACTAATTCGTATATGTACGAGTACGTACATAAATATAGTTCCAGTTAAACTAGACAATGGCGTCAAGATACGCTTTCAGTTTCCGGTGAGGGACAGACGAGACAAAAGTTTTATATGCCGGCGTGGAATATTGTTGTTATTTAATATGCCAAGCACACCATAAGGTGTCTGTTTAAATGCGACTACAAAAGAAGTGTACCTTCATTATAACTTTTGTCCTAAATTGATAATAAGATAGAATATACATAGAAATAGTTTGTGGAGCTACTACTTTACGGATCATCCAGTCGGAAATTAAATTTGTAAAAATTTGAAATAAATTTTTAAGATTTTATTATATATTTATTGTGATTTCATTTGATTGAATAATGCGATACTTATTGAACCATTTTACTCGATCTCTTTGCAAAAATAGGTCTGTGTAAATTTGGATACAAATCCTTTTGTGCTAACCCTGATGACATCTTTTTCTAAAAATTGTGGTTATTAATCGAAAATATCTTTTTCAACTGTAGCTTAAAGGATATATCATAATAATTAAGTTTGAATTACATTATTGAAAAAAAAATTTTGTAAAATCGTTAAAATGATTTAAAAGGCTTACCACAGATTTCGAGTGATGTACGCTCCTTGCTGGTCGAGACCGTACCGGCGCCGCACTGCTTGCCGTCAGCAACATTAACAATAATCCCATGAGGATGGTAACACGCACGTATACACTCATTGTCCTCCCAAACTTCACCGCCCAGTACCGTGAGTCCCGCGCAAATTTAAATTTTAAATTTTCGGCTTGTCCTGTATAGTTATATATATACACGCCGGCCCTTATCCTCTTTCTCATAATCGATACTTTTCCGTATTCATCTTCTTTCTTATGCGATCCGCATGCTATCGAAAAGTCGTTTCGAATTTCGGACTCGTTTTGATATTCATATTTTTCCCTATTTTGTCTTCTAAATCTATCAACTTCATTTACATGGCTTTTATTCTTAGAATGAAAATCACTCGGCATTTTTCTATGTTTTACTTCTAATTGTGCATTCCCTTTTGAGTCCCGATTTGGCTTAGTTTTACTAATGTCTTCCATGTTTAAAACGGTACAACCTTGGTGGAATTTTAAACTCCACTTATTAGTTTATCAGTTTTTTCAACTTCTACATATCTGTGATGCTGCTGCAATTCGCTGGTTTATGACCCCCTTTATTAGCCGAAGGAAATGGTCATCTTAACATATTAGAGCATCAGTGCTGAGTCTTTTCCCCTGCAGACTTCGCATCTACTACGCCTAGCACTTTATCGGCATGTTTCCTGTTACCGTGCGCCAGATTAACTTCTCTGTGGAACGGGATGCTGCGTTATCGAGATACGTGGGTGGGAAGCCTGTTTGTTCTACACTTAAAATATTCTTGTATGCACAAGATATCGAAGCGATTTTCTGTAACAAAAAAAAAGATAATGTTTCAAAAATATCTCCGATAGGAAACAACCACAAAGGGTGTACCGGTAGTTGACCTACTTTTGTAGATTTCCGTGTATAAGATAAAACACATTAAATATATTATTAAAGCAGTTTTATTTCATACGACAAAACAAATATTTCTTACGAAAACAGGATATATTAACAATATTCTTTGGACGCGGATAAATAATTGATATCAGACGTCAAGAACAGTGATTGTAGGTGTAAGTATTGAATTATGTCTCCCAGATAACAACAACCATTCACATAAATCTTTATTTGTAATAAAGTCACGTAGATATTACATTTCCAATACATTGTTACGAAAGCTAAACAAGTAATTTTTTTCCTATTATTCTAATGAAATACGTTATTTTTCAAACGCTTTATATTTTCATATTAGCTTCATCTGGATGTTTGTATGTATGTACCTCTAACAGTACTAATTTAATACACATACAATGCAAACATATGATAAAATATATGATAGAATATCTTTTTAAACAGAACGAACTGGGCTTAAAATCTGCTTTAGATGTAGGTACATAAGGTCAATTTTATTATTTAAAGATCATAATAATTAATAACTATAGGTGATGATATGGAGTAAGGAGTTATTTGACGTAAAATTGCGTAATAAATATTTTTAAGTTTCATTTTTATCCGTCATTTAAATATTTTTTTTTATAATTACTCAGAAAATTAATGGTAATGCAGACGGAATAACCACGCCATAAATTTTTTTGTTAGGAATTACATACTTCAGATCAGGCAGGATTTGATTATCTCGAATGTATCGTGTGGAGTACTTGCACCTGTCATAAACATGGACGCTCATTTTAAAAATACCGCATCACTAGACGTATCGTAATAAAAACGCGTCCATACTTAATCATATCGTATCAGCATAACGTTATTTATAATATGTGTACAGTTTTTTTTATCTATTTCACGTCCGAATTTTTCAAGACCGTAGCAGCATGCAATATCCTGCTCCTTGATAATCATAAGACATAAACTGACTAGGTAAGCGACGTAGCTTATCAAGTATCGTATCGCATCATCTTATTGTGATACAGTATCAAAATACGTCCATACTACCGATCGATCATAGTGTATTCGAGGTACAACAGTTGGTGTATCGCATCGTAAAATCCTAGTGATTGTGTAAAAAATACATGAATAAAGATAGTTAAGCACGGGATTCGAACCTGCAACCCAACAACTGTCTAAGGTTAAGCTATCAACGGTATAATATGTCTTAACTTCGCTGCTATATGAGGCAGTGCCATTTAATATATGTTTATACTAATATAAACTAAAATTAATAATGCGCATAAGCAGATAAGTAATAATTACGTAGTAAGAAAAATAAAATCTTAATATTTAAAAGAGTGTAGGATTTTTTGTCGCGCTGTGGGCTCTGAGTTAGAATCCGGCACGGATTTATTTTATTCTTCGTTTTCTCAGGAATAACCAGCTTTCAACTGAATAAGAAATATTGCATATTACCATATAGTATTAACATAGTATAAAAAGTTTAAATATTCATACTTATTGTATACAATATAAATACAATAATATAGCGATAAGTGTTATACGTGTCAATCGTGATAGATTTCAGTGAATTTAACGGAATATAGTCTTGTGGATGTTGTGGTCCATAGACACCTTAATCCAACCTCGATTAAGAATCATATTTAAAATGCGTTGTCACCCCTGAGGATTAAGATATAATGCGTCATTAGCAGTAAAACCACAGCAGCATTAAGTTGATGCGGGAGCGTCATCTTTCACTCGTTTAGCCGACCCATTCCTGCTGCAACTATAAAATAGCTGCCGCGTAGCTCTACCACCTTAAATAATAGTACTAACTTATCAGTAGTAAATTTCTAATTGGGAAGGTCCTATATTCGGCAGTGGACTGTTACTGGCTAATAAAAAATGAACTATAAGGTGTAATGCCATACACGAGGACATTGCAATAGATTCAGTACAGAATTCCAACATTTTACTGCACAAAATATATATTTTGTAGTTTCCTGCTAGGATTCGAACCCGGAACCCGCGACACTACCTCTAATCATCAAACCATACACACTAATTAAGCTATAAAGTTCTTATGGCTCTTGATATATTCTACAAAAGTGAAAAGTAAAGTTACGGTCTATATATATATATATACATTCCAGAGGTGGGCATAGGCCTCCTCTCACTACCGAGAGGGTTATGAAACAATAAGACCTTTGCGCTGCCTCAGTTCATGTCTCATGTCTTCGAAATATTTTTATTCCTCAGATATAAAGGTATCCTTATGGAGTTTAATTTTACCTTCCAGCACGTAAAATCGATGGAGCATGAGATGATATATTGTAATGATGAGATGTAATAAGTTGATTGGTGATGTCGAGGATCAAACCCGGGTTGCTTGCGAGGGCTTAGCCCTGGATGTATACTATCCTCAAGTATACACGGTTCACCCTAGCGAAGGAACGAGGCTCTGACCAATGACAGATATTTTTTTAATATAGAATAAGGGTGACAAAGGCACACACAGTCTACCTGTTGGTAAGTGGATACTGTGGTCCATATATATATATATATATATATATATATATATATATATATATATATATATATATATTTATATATATATAAATATATTTATATATTTATATATATGTGTATATATATATATATTCGAGATGAGATGTATTGTCACTCCTGAGGACTAAACCTGAATGCCACATTTCCAGTAAAAAGAGTCTCAAGTTCTCTACACTCACCATACGAAACGCAGCAGAATTATACTGCTATTTTACACTGGTGTTCTGTGAAAGCGTGGTCTTTCCTCGGTCGAGACGACCGATTCGTGATGCAACTATAATATAGCAGCAGTATGGCTCTACCGACTGCCTCGTTGGTCTAGTGGTTGTAGTAGTGTGACTGCTGATCATGAGGCCCCGGGTTCGAATCTTGGGTCGGATCAAAAATTGAATTTTTCCATCAAGAAAATCTCAGCAGCTGCCCGGAGTCAGGAAGTTGGCGGTGTCTCATCCCTGTGCCTCGGAAAACACATAAAGCCGTTCGTCCTGTGCCTGATCTCTACCCGGTCGTGTCGGTTTACCGTTCCATCGGACGAAGAGAGTGAAGGAATAGAGAGTGCACCTGTGCTTGCGCATATATATACTTCAGCATTATAATCCTGTCTTGCACCGATGGCTAGTCTCCGTTGAAAATGGGTCGTGTGATCGACATTCGGTCCGGAGGATATTATATATTATCATTATTATGGTTTTACCACCTATAATTAATGTCATAAAAGTACAGAAAGTATCCTTTAATAAGAGACTTTCATGTTGACCGTTGCGTACTGATTAACTTGTAATTAACTACCACCAGAGATTTTTTCAGATTGATACGACTTAAGGTCCTTCAAGAAAAGAGCTTATTCCTTTTTAAAAGGCCTGTAACGCATCTGCGATTCCCCTGGTATTGCAGTTGTTCGTGGGCGGCGATAATCATTTACCATCAGGTGAGCCGTATGCAAGTTTGCCCCCTCTCCTATAAAAAATATCTACGGGTTTGCTTTTTTATAATTTAAAAAGAACACTAAACTTATTTAATATTCTAATCTAGTACAGATTCAAAGGTTTCCGGTTTCCCTCAAAAAGTTTACGTTATATTTGTTTTCTTTTGTTTCAACTATAATATATATTTTAGTAGAGAAAGTGAATAACTGACAGTTAATAGTAGGATAGTGCTTGCCGCAAGTTAAATACAAGTGTGGACTAAGTGTGACTATTTATAAACGTAGACCAATATAATCACAGCTGCCACATGACCAACAGAGTTGTACAAATAAATCTTAAAATAAAGTTTTATATGTGCGCTTAAAAACAGAACTTTTTTTACCTGTAGCTTCGCATTAATGAAACAGCAACATTTTAGATTTATATACTTGGACAAGCTCTCTTAACAATATTGTTTACATTAATAGTCATGCATAAGAAATGAAACCAAACTTACTTTCTTAATTCGCTCTACTTTATAGTAAAGAAGCCCACGAAAACAAAACAAAGCTCCCTTACGCGCGCGGAGCTTACTTTCCCTTTCATCCAACACAACTGAGGGGGATAGCAGACATCACATCTAGCACTGAAAGCACTGCTCTATTCAACTTTTCAGAATTCACACGATAATTAATTGAAGAAAAAATATAATCTGTGCAAATTTAATATCGAAGTCGTTGGATATTTTTTTAATATATTTTTTTTATTAAAATCACAGTCCGCTAAGAATTCAGACCACGTTTCGTAAGGTGATAATAAATAGCGTCCATGAGCGGGACGCCAAATACGCGTCGTCCGCGAACCCGCGCGACTCTATACTAAACTTCGGGTGAACGTAACCAACTACAGACTACAGGAGTGAACTTTAGTGCATGCGCCGCCTATGTGTGAGTGTGCCTACTGTATACCGGGTTCTAAATATGTGCGTATGGCGCTTTGTGTGTATAAGTGCGTACAATTTCGTTTCATTAAAATTTCTTTTGCTTTAATGTAGTCTTTGTTCAGTGCTTGAAGCTTCTGTGTAGTCTTTGTTGAGGGGAACTTATTAGTTGTTGTTGTAATATAAGTTCGGAAATAAAATTAACAGCCATTGAAAAAAACGAAGTAAACAAAGGGTCCTAAGTAAAGGGCTTCTCACATCTCATTCGTATGAAGAGCATCCTTTCTGTACAAGGCATTTGTTTTAAAGGTTAATTTTTTATGGATGGGAGGAAGTACATTTAATGTGAATAAAACCTATCTTGAGTCGAGTTTATTTTTAAAAACAGAATAGAACTCGATCAAGTATTCCCTAGAGCACTGTCTAGACGTCCAGTATCAACTTGAGCTTCAGGCTTAACACTGCGCATATTTTGTAGTGTAGTTTCGACTTGCAGAGAATTTTAGGCAACTGAAACTCAATTTATTTTAATTTTATATAAAACTTTCTCTAGAGATTTACTAAACTTGAAGTAACATAACCAACTCAACCAATGTGTTTATATTTTTATGCTGTCGCTTGTTTGTCGACGAAGGTAGGAGAATTTTTACGTGGTAGAGCCACGTTTAATCTATGTTATGGTTATAGCACAAATCGATTGGCTCGACCAGGGAAAAACCACACTCTCACAGATTACCAGCGTGAAATAGCAGGTTCACGCTGTTATGTACTGCTAATATGCACACCATACGGGTATGTATAGAAAACCAGAAGATCCTTTTTACTGGAAACTAGTCATTTCATTTTAGTCTTCAAGGATAACATTGAATTCCGCATTTCGTATTTTAATTGACCATAAATGTACATTTCTATGAGCTACAGTATACACTTATGCGTGGTAAAGCCACGCTGCAGCTATATTATGGTTGTAGCACGAATATTTTGGCTCGACTGGGGACCACGCTCTCACAGAATACCAGCGTACAACAGTAGCTTAATGCTGCTTTGTTTCGTATGGTGAGTGTAGAGATCCTGAGACCCTTTTTACTAGAAACGAGGCATTCCAACTTAGTCCTCAGGGGTGACAACGAATCTGCGTTTTGATTCTTAATCGAGGATAAATGTAGATGTCTATGGACCACAGCATCCACTTACCATCAGGTGAACTATGTGCTCGTTTCTATAAAAAAGGTAAGCTGTGTACATGCTTGAAAGCTTGAAACTTATAATCTATAAAAAGTGGTGTTAGTACACTCACGCCTTCTTACCATACACCGTCATCTTATAACCTTCAAATCTTTAAACTTTTTTAAAACTATTTCCACTTTTACCGTTACTTTGTTCGGGCACAAGGCGAATATCACTCCTCAGCGTAGGATACCGGAAACTTAAGTTCAACTTAACTTAAAAAATTTAACCGGCAACCTTTGTGGTTGTGACCTCTAGAGCTCTAGACATTTCAGTGTTTTAATTCTAAAAATATCTTTAAATAGTCATAAATAAAAATATTGAAGAAAAGTATCAAATTCCGTTACATACGTTCATACATATGAATACATTTTATAAAAGATTCACCTTCAATCTTGCCAGACTGTATTAAAGTTTTCTCACTAGATAAAGTTATTTTCTAAATAAGATTTACTTGTACTGGTGATATTATGAGCAGACTTATTCAAATATTAAACATTGCCGTATTTTCTGGGTGATTTTGAGCTGACTTTATATGATAGTTGTAATTCCAAGTGTCGAAAGCCGTAAGATTTGTCTAGCATTTATAATGATGTCAGTATATATACGTAGACCTTCTTTTCTGACTAGAAGCTGTTTACTCTGTATACTTATTTAGACTATGATATATTCGGGAGTTTTAGCGGGAACTTTGAAGTCGACGGATTGTCGCTCCTGTTTTGTCGCTTGAATAATCGTTTGAAGTAGATTTTGATTCGTTAAAGTGATGCGATTTTGTGAATTAAGTGTCTGCGTGTGTGAACTATTAGAGAAAACGACGAAACAAGTGCTTTGATGTCGATATAAACCTCAAGTTATTGTGATCGCTTGGGCGCCTTATGAACTTGAGTAGCTGTCGTCATCAACTGTCCGCTGGGTTAAGCTGTTGTCAAAATCTTCCAAAACTTCACAATGTGACGCATCAGCGTATTGTGAATAAAAAATATATAAAAATGAAGATTCTGAAAGTAATGATCAGAAGGGCTAGAACCCAGAGCCGTAAAACGGTAAAAAAATAATATATCCATCCATCCTAATCCTCTAGAGTTTCGACGCAAGGGCTTCACTAACTAATTTCTTAAACTAACTTCAAAACTCAAATTTCTAATTTTTTTGTGTTGTTAATTGTAATTTATACATGACTGTAATTAAAAAAAATAGTCCAGCTGGGTTTCTTAGCGGTCCTACCCAGGACAGAGGTTTTTTCCAAACCAGTGGTAAATAACAAAAAAATGATTTTCCATGTATTATTTATAATTCATATTAAGTAAAAAAGTTTTTGTTTCTGTAACTAATTACCATCAAAGAGTTTTTCAATCTAATATTTCAAAAATGTTGATATAAGAGAGGCAGTAACGCAAAATCATTTAAATTGCAATAATTTTATTCTTTTTAGGGTATAAAAATAAATCTTATATAAATATATTGAAATGGTCAACAAGGAGTTGGTCTAAAAGTCAACTGCTGAACAAGAAGTCGTGGGCTTAAACCTCGAGTCAGGAGCAAAATTAGTTATTGGGTTTTCTCTTAAGAAATTTCATTTCGCGATATTTTATCCTCAAAGCCGTTGGTCCTGCGCCTGATCTTTTGCTAACGAGTTGGATTGTTTTCCCATCGAATTATCAATGGAGAAATAAAAAGTGCACTTGTGCTTGCGCTCAATACTATAATACATACATAATAGAACGGGGGAGTGGGCGGAGCCCGTGTAGTCACTAAAATGTCACTAACACATCAATTCACACGTATAAACGTCAACACGAGATGTGTTTTGACATTACAATCGTTTCTGAATTTCCCATGCAAATTATTTAGAAAATGACAAATTGCACGCTATTTACAAATAAATATGTATTAAAATCTGTCTGTCAACACAGCGAATCGGGTTTGTTGTAGTGATAATACGACGTTATTGCTTGTATGTGTGCTCCCGGCGACGCATATCGTCGTACAAAATAAGGTTGACAGCCATTCTTTTTTGTATTATAGTATTCTACGGTGCACAATGAAGCTTAATAAACAGATAGAGAATAATGCCAGTAGTGATATAGGCTTTATTTTTTTTTTCCTAAAAAAACATTACAAGATTCTTTTGTGAAATCTGAATAATCTTTATTGATTATCCTAAGTCTAAATGATGTTACATTAATAGATAGCACCCAGACGAAGGGGTGGTTCGCTAGTTCTTTTTTTATATAGAAGAGGGTGAAACGAGCTTACGGATCACCTGATGGTAAGTGACTACCGCCTCCCATGAACAACCGCAACACCAGGGGAATTGCTGGTGCGCTGCCGGCCTTTTAGAAAGGAGTAAGCTCTTTTCTTGAAGGTCTTTAAGTATACGACTTAAAGACCTTCAAGTCCGGTCCGGAAAAATCGCCGATGGTAAACAATTCCACAGAGAATTTGTACAAGGAAGAAAACTTCTTCTAAAACGCACAGTGGTGAACCGCCAAGCATTCAGATGGTAAGGGTAGTATCGTGAATTTTGACTCGATGTGCGTTTGTGAAATTTGGCGGTGTAATTAAGCCGAGCTATTACTCAGAGCACTCCCCGTGGTACATGCGATAGAAAATGTAAAGGGATGCAACAGCTCTAAGCAGCGTCAGTGAATCGAGCCGATCAGAAAGAAATCGGTCGTCGATGATTCGAACCGCTCTGAGCTTGACGCAGTTAAGCGGAAAGCGCCGGTACTGGGGTGCCCCGACCCAGAGATGATAACAGTATTCCATGCGATGCCGAACTTGCGCTTTGCAAAGTTGCAAGCGATGTGCTGAAACTGTCTCGCTCTATTGAGCACGCCAAGCTTTTTAGAAGCCAATTTGGCCTTCTCTTCCGATTGACCACGAACCTGCACACTATTCCATATGTCGACGCCGAGGATTCCGATGCTAGCTGAGGCAGCAAGAAGAGTGCCTTGAAACTGAGGAGATACGACAAATGGGTTCTTTTTAGCAGTAAACGCGCAAACTTGTGTCTTCTGGGGATCAAACTGGACTAAATTTAGTTGACCCCAATCCGAGTCTTTCTTCCGCAAAAACTCTGCTTCACACATAAGTTTGTTCCGGTACTAGGCGAGATTTTCCCGCGAAGTATTGACAGGGACGGTGTGTAAAGCATCATCAGGGCTGTCGTCCGCATAGCAATTAATGTTACCAGTTTGCAACATACTCGTATCATTGATATGCAGTAGAAACAGCGCTGGCGATAGTACGAAGCCTTATGGAATACCAACGTTAATAGGCTCGTAATCAGAGCATGCACCGATGCTCCAAACAGTAAGAAAACGGGTGATCCAATTGCACGATTTCTTGTGCTATCTCTAAGTAATCTAAGTAGCAATGACTCTTTTGAAGTTCATTAATAAAATTCTCTACTTTTTAAAACAAATTTTTAGAACCTTAAAATATCCATAAATCACTCAACACACGATGATTTCAATTTCTTACTTCTAATAAGTATTTCCCAAAACCTTCATTTATACTTCCTCAAAAAAAGATGCATTGCACACACAAAGGTAATTATATTTCGATATAGTCGATAAAATACCAGCAACTCCAACGATAGTTAAAATTAAAATAAAACGAACTAACAAATACATTGAGAGTAAAATGTATAACTTGTAATAACATCAAGGATCATCGTATTTATAAAGTATGGATCAAATGCGGCAGCTTAGAATATTTCGCTGTGTTTGGATAAACGGGTAGAGCTGCCGGTCGAACCACAATATTTCATTGATATGTTACATTCATACGGTAAAGGCTCCTTAACGTGATGCTAATGAAATACCGCATAGTTTATCAGTAGTAGAGTGATTAAAATAACATTTCTGTGTACTACGTTTGAAGAAAGACACGCTTGGCCAACGGTTTGTCAATCGAATTTTTTTTTTATTATTTGTGTATCGGGAGGTCTGCTGTGTAGTGCGTTCATGAAATTTGGCGGCTGGGATTAATCCGAACAATTCCTCAGAGCACTCCCCGTGATATATGCGATAAAATACGCAAAGAAATGCAACATCTCTGAAGTGCCAGTGAATCGAGCCGATCGGATAGCACTCGGTCGTCGACGAGCCGCTCTGCGCTAGTTGCGGTCAAGTGGAAGGAGCATCATCTGTTTCAATTTCCCTACGTCGCGACTTACGACACCCACGGGACGATGTTGGGTAGTTGATATTCTTACACCTACACTACACGGCACAAAATGTCCTCAAAATTTTATCCCTCAAACATCACCCACGATATTTTTCTTTAATGCTAAGCATGTATTAAATCTAGGTGGTAGGTAACATTCTTTACCTATTTCTATCGCCAAAAAGTAGTGCTTGCACTGGTATGTTCCAGTCTGGGATATAGAGCCAGTATAATGACAGACTAAGAGCCATCCCATCATCTAAGTCCTTAAAAGTCCTTAGAGTCCTGTTTGTTTGAAGTTGACGGCTGGACTCCATGAACTGCAATAACCACTTACCATCAGATCAACTTACAGTGAAGTTCGTATGAAATTCCCGTTTTATTTAAAAAATCTGCTGTTGAAATTGCAATTAACAGTTTTACTGGTGTTGGCGGGGATCGAACTGTCAAACTTACGGCGAGCGCTTAGCGCCTGCGCTACCACGTAAACATATTGATACGAATACAACTTAAATGAAAATATATTTTACTGAGAGAATAGTAAAATGTAAAGTTCCGCTAACAAGATTTAACTTCATAATGTGTGTCATTGAGTTATACAAAATAATGTTTGTAATATATAAATCAATGATGTGAGTTTGTGATTTACTTTTTTTTTTAAGAATAAGGGTGACAAACGAGCACACAGTCCACCTGATGGTAAGTGGATGCTGTTGCCCATAGACATCTACATTTACCCTCGATTAAGAATTAAAACGCAGATATGTTGTCACACCTGAGGACTACGATGGAATGCTTCGTTTCCAGTAAAAAAAGGGTCTCCGGATCTCTACACCCACCATACGAAACACAGCAGTATTAGGCTGCTATTTTACGCTGGTATTCTGTGAATGCGTGGTCCTTCCACGGTCGAGCCG